TATTTTTGTCATAACTCTATTTGCCGGATGATATCTCCTGCAACAGTTGCAGGGACAGCTATTGGGACCGATGTGATAAGTTTTTCCATTGCACATGACTAGGCACCGGCGCGCACATCGCATCCTTGGCGTAAAGACATGCTGTGTGCGCGATGTGTGAACCAATCAGACGCGAATATGTCAAGGGCATGTAGAGCGAAGGGGTTAGAAAGGAATGAAATCAGCTAACAGGCGGGCGGCCGGCCAAAGTTCGGCGTCGCATGCTATCTAATGATAACATACGACCTTAGTCTCCACAATCAGCGAGACCAAATTTCGTTAAATAGTGGGGGGAAGACCTGTGGAAGTGTTGTTCTATACAGCAGACGGAAGCACAGTCATAGCAAAAAAAAACAGTGTTCACCTAAGCCACGATTAGAAGTGAAAAGTCCGCTAATCAGCTCACGGTACCGACCACTATTGTTTCCAATAAAGCGTATATACACGAACAGACTTTCGAGGATATACCTGACTCATTATTCTCACAGCACCCTGCTCCGAGAGCAAGACCAAAATGACAAATGCACGTGGGTGTAGTAGCTGCCAAGACCGACCAACTCGTATAGGCAAGCAACATGCGACCCGGTCTCTAACTTCGCACGGTCCAGAGAGGGACCTGGAGTCTCCGAGAAGGGATAATAGTCATAGGCACTGAAGTTAAGCTCTCAGTTTAGAGGACCAATTTACACCGGCTTTGAGCGCATCGGTTTATATGGGCTGGGAACCCGTTCTGCAGCCAGAAAGATGGTTGCTTCCGTATCGGCTTCAATTTGTCTTTCCTTTCGTATGGATCAGTGGCCTCTATGACCCTGTCGGTTGATTGGTTATGAGATCCAGCAGGGGGCGGATGATGTAGCACGAGCCGTCACCAGATGCGCACCAGACGAATACAGATGACAAGGGGACAAGTAAAAGGCGTAGTTTTAATACGGAGTACCGCCCGACAACCACGTAAATAGCTGACACTCATGACAGCCCTTAGTAGTAGTGGAGGTGCGATAGATACAACAAGAATTTTATTCATCTGACATTTCTGATTCTTAGTCGAAACTATCACCAGAAACAGTCAAAGATGAGCTTGATAAACAGAGGCCTACAACAAGAATCTACAAGACGTATATACCGCAGTAAGATGAGGGAATGGGAGCCTGCCCCCGTA